GTAATGGTGAAAAACTCAATGTCCACATGGAGATCAATGTTGAGTGGTGTCTCTCCAGGATCTGTACTGGGACCAGTACTGTTTCATAGCTTCATTGATGACAGATAGCGTGATTTACTGCACTCTCAGGAATTCTGCAGATGACACCAAGCTGATGCAAACGCCATTCAGGGGGACTGGTGCAAGCTTGAGAACTGGGCTCATGTGAACCTCATGAGGTCGTGCACCTGGGTCAGGGCAATCCCTGGTATCAGTACAGGCTGGGGGACTGACAGCTCTGTATGAGCCGGCAATGTGCGCTCACAGCCCATATGGCCAGCTGTATCTTGAGCTGCATCAGAAGTATGACCAGCAGGTCGCGGGAGGTGATTCTGCCTCTCTGCTCTGCTCTGGTGTGACTCCACCTGCAGTTCTGTGTTTCAACTCTGGAGTCCTCGGCACAAGAAACACATAGACTTGTTGGTGCGGGTCCAGAGGAGGGCCATCAAAATGATCAGAGGGATGGAACACCTCTCCTATGCAGACAGGCTGAGAGAGTTGGGGCTCTTCAGCCTGGAGAAGAGAAGGCTCTGAGGAGAGCTTACAGCAGCCTTCCGGTACTTAAAGGAAGCTTATAAGAAAGATGGGGACAATCTTTTTTAGCAGAGTCTATTGCAATAGGACTAATGGTTTTAAACCAAAAGACCTAGATCAGAAATAAGGAAGAATTTCTTTACAGTGAAGGTGATGAGACACTGGAAAAGGTTTCCTGGAGAGGTGATAGATGCCCCATCCCTGAAAACATTCAAGGTCAGGTTGGACAGGGCTCTGAGCAACCTGATCTAATTGAAGCTGTCCCTGCTTATTGTGGGAGAGTTGGACTAGGTGACCTTCCAACGAGACAATTCCAGGATTCTATGATATATGCATATGTGTGTGTGTGTACGATTTGTTCAGGAAGGTTAAAAGAGGTGAATGAGTGGAGCACAATATCAAAGTCTTCATACCATATTGTCTGTTGAGTGTCAGGAATCAACCTGTTCCCTGCACATTTTTACTGCGCTTTGCTAGGATAAACATCGGGAGTATATAGGATGCACTAGGAAATGATAGATGAATTATTCAGAAAATTACCAAGAAGAGCAGGAGGCTTTTTGTCTTTTCATGCGTAGAAATCAGGACTGGATGGTGCTCTGCAAGATCTGTGTTAGCCAAGCCCAAACTGCTAGGCTTAACAGAGGGAAATAGCTGGGTGAGATATTTGGACCGTGGTCCAGTTAGTGACATCACTACTGTCTTCAGCCAGCGGGCTGGCTTTCTCTGGGATTTAAAAAGACAGCTAGGCTCTTGTACAGGCACTGCCTTTGCAAAATACTTACCCCTTGGTTCAGAAAAAAGATACAAGAAACTTCAAAATGCATAATTTCCCTGGTGTAAAACAAAATGTAACTTTCATGTAGCTGCAAGAGCAATTTTTTCCCAAGTCAGTACCTGATTCTTCATTTCTAAGCGAAGATTTTTTTCTTCCATGACTTTTCTGAATGTTGGCAAACTGCCTAATGGCCTCTCAACAAATGACGTTGTTCCTGATTAACTCTGAACATGTTTACTGCAGAGCAGGAGCAACGTGTTCTGGGTTAGTCCATTCCATGTTATGCACGGGAAAGGCACTTTTATTTGAAGTAAGAGTCCCTACATGTAGTTAATTAGGAGCAATTCCTGTTTAGACAAACCCCAAACTGTTCTGGCATGCACACTTGCAAATACAGACTGTCTTTAATTGTTGTCAGCATGAATTAGAGCCATGGTTATCAATTTGTAAATATTAAACGGTTGCATATGCGGTTCACAGGCAATTGCTCAAACACTTGAGTTCTCTCATCGTTTTCTAGGGTGTTGCTCAAACACTTGAGTTCTCATGTTTTCTGGAGACAGGGGCACTGTGGCCCCAAGTGCGAAATCTGGCGCGTAATCTTTACTACTGTATGGGATTCCATATGGGTGATGTACTGGTGTACACAGATTGTTTTCTGATGTTAAGCTATTAAGTTACAGAAAGAGGGACAACTTTTCAAAGGCTTGTTGAATCAAGGTGTGTTCCCCATTACCCCTTGTTGTTTGCCCTCTCTCTTCTTCCCCTTCTCCCCTCTGGTCAGGAGTTTCAGTGAGCTAATTCTCCTAAGCAGCTCTTGAGAAAAACTTCTAGTGAGAGAAATGTGACTGGCAACAAGTTAAATCTTTTCCAGTCATCATACAGACTAGCTCACAAAAAGTGATTAACATTAATTAGAGGGAAAATATTGAGGTCTTTTGGTGAGAAGCCTGTTTCCCAGTGCCAAGGGATAAGGAATTTACCACTTCACTCAAACATTAGTTCCAGTGAATAATTGCATTCACCACTACATTTTTTTTCCTTCTTATCCCATTTGATTTGGCTCCTGATAAATATTTCTGAGCACAGACACATTTTTAGAATTCCTGCCTAAACTTCTGATTTGCATACTGCAATATATGCTCAGTAACTTTACCTGAGGGGTTTATATTTGTAGTTTACACTAGGTACAATTTCAATTTATTGAGCTACTGCCCTTCCATATAGTTTGATTTTTAGCAGGTTTGTAGAGGTGATGGAGCCCTGATGGAGAGAACAACACACATTATGAGGTAGAAAATCTGAATTACTTTTCTGTTCTTTATTCCAAATAAATTAGGCTGGACATAATTCAGTATGGATACCATTGCTGAAGACTGCAGAAAAAGTTCCCCCTTCCATTTGGAAATTGTGGACAAATTCGTTTTTTCAGGTTTCTTGAAACTTATGTGGTCATGATCTGCTCAACTTAATGATTTCATAGCCTCTTAGCAAATTTGGGTCCAGTTGAGCAAGTGGGTGGAGATAATTGATGCATTTTATGAACATAAGCAAAAAGGTTTGTAGAGAGACACTATAAATGATTTGAGTGAAGAAGGTGGTTGTGGTGGGAACAGGTGGCTTTTGACATGACAGAGAACCTGAAATATTTTTAAGCCCGCTAACTGCAGGAGAGTCTTTCATCAGAATTTAAGACATAAATGCTCATTTCATAGAACTATAGAATCAATCATAGAATGGTTTGAGTTGGAAGGGACCCTAAAGATCATTTATTTCCAACTCCCCTGCCATGGGCAGGGACATCTCCCACTAGACCAGGTTGCTTAACCTTTCTGGGCCTCTTGGCTACTGACTTGTTTGTGGAATGCCAGACCAGTCCTAGCAAACTCCTACACTATGTTTGGACAAAGAATTTCATAGAAAGAGGTTTTCGCCTTGTATTCAGATGAACTCTGTCCATTTAGATTTACACTGATAGCTAAAAGCTGGGTCAAGCCATCTGCATCTGTATTATATGCTCTTTCTCTTGTTTTGTTCTTGCAGATAATTGTATGGCATAAGACTGGATGAACATTAACAGAATCTGGAATATATTTTAAATGTAAACCTCCATCAGACATACTGATAATTTCATGTTCTATAATTAAAACTGTATAGGCTTTTCTTCCTAAGTATGGCAACAGCTGTTAGAGCATATCTGGAAAAAATGCTTTAAGCAAAGGTATTTTAGCTCACAAGGTATAGAATATTTACTAACAATCCTTTGCAGAATATAAATGATGTATCAATATTTTTAATATAAAAATCTTCATTTTTCTATGATATTTGCAAAGCTGATTTTGCATTCATGTCATAGATTGGCTATTCCGGTGTAGTTCAAGGCTAAATGCTGCAAAACAAAAACATTGCTTTGTTACTATTTTTAGGTAGAAGCCTAAGTAAGTCTTGTCTAATGCCCTAATAGTATTTTCTTCACTTACTTCAGCAAAATACTTTCCCTTCTCTGATTCTAAAGAATAATCACACTGAGAGGAAAATTGGTTGGACTCCTGCTCTGTGCTTCTTGGGGCTCATGATAATGCTCTTTTTTGCTATCATCTTCCTCTCTAGAAAATACAGATAGATGTACCCCTTGCAATTATTATAGCATTGCTCAGAACTTTTCTGAAGTCGCTGAGGGTGTTTACAAGGTAGAATCCTGGCCACTAGCAGTATTTGTGACAAGACTCCAAGCGCTGTGGTTTCTGTACTGTCTTCTGAACTGTTGCTATAGGCATGGCACTACAAAGCCAGTATTATTAGAATTATTAATTAAAATGGAAACTAGAAAGCATAAAACAATAAAAAGCCTCTCTCTATTTATTTATAATGTTACTAATTTTGTTTGTTTGGAAAAAGATGTCCAAAAATAAAGATGCAGAACCCCAGAACCTTTACTAACAAGGTAATGCTTCAATCAGGGTCTTGCATTCTGACCCGAGTGTCTCAAAACCAGCCAGCCAACTTACTGTCAAGATGATGGGGGAGATTTTGCAGATAAATAGCATTTACTAACAGTTCCCCAAGTGAGAAATCAGTTCTCCTTTATATGGAGTAGGAGGCATTTTTTTTAAGCTAGATAACATTGTGTTGGAACAGCTTTGTGCCTGAATTTTAAATCATAAATGCTATGCTTGTTGTGCAGCTGGAGGCAAAATGCAGTAACTCAACCACCAAGGAAGAAACTACAACTGAAAAAATGAATGAGATTGAAAAAAAAAAAGAACTCCATGTCAGTGATACCACAAAATAAAGGAGTAACATGGAACATATTAGTGGTAATGTGGGAGTATTAATTCCAAATTATTGGCAGTTTAATTGACCTCCAGGAAGTATTTTAATGGGATTAGTATGCTGTGCTGTTCTTGATTTTTCAGTCTTTCCCACTGGACAGAAGAAGCACTTTTTCCAAGTGAGGGGTTTTAAGTTGCTGTGGCTTGTCTGGTGGTCGGACACCAGCACTGGCCGTGTGATGGAGTCTCTTCCGCCCAACACCTTCAAAGCTCATCCTGTGAGCAGGGCTCTGGTGCATCTGCTCTGCTCTTGTCTTCACCTTGCTGGTTACAAAGGCTCTTTACATGGAATATTCTTCTGGTGCTTTGACCCCCAGGCTCCGACTGCATGAAGAAAAAGTCATTAAAGATCGGCGTCACCACCTTAAGACGTACCCAAACTGCTTCGTTGCCAAAGAACTCATTGACTGGCTGATTGACCATAAAGAGGCCTCAGACCGAGACACAGCAATTAAACTGGTGCAGAAATTACTGGATCACAGCATTATTCACCATGGTAAGTGCAATATCAGCTGCTAAAAAGTTCTGAGCTAAATTTCATTGGCTGATGTGAAAGAGAAATCCTGCTCTTGCTCTTTACAAGGCAGGCAGGATCCCTTCCCTACCAGAAAGGGAGCATCTCCCTTGAACTGTGCTGCTCCACAAGGTCCTCTGTGACCCCAGGGCTGAAGAGGTGTGGAGTGACATCCTCCATGTCAGTACAGGGCGGGGATGTCGCTGGAGGATGTGCTGCTGCTTCTCTGCCTCCAGAGCAGCCCCAGCTGGATCCTGTCCCTGCCCTTCCAGCCACCCTCACCACCCTGCTCCCTAGAACATCTCAAAAATTCATCCAGTTAATAAAGGTCACTTTTTTTCATGTGGAATAGTTCTCTGGCCCCATCCCTTGCACCAGCTGCACAAACATTAGTGCTGGTACAGCTGCAAGAAAGTTAATTGTCCAACTGTGCCTTGATTAATTTTCTCCTCATCTTATTGTCTCTTTGAAATCAGTTCCTTTCAGCTTCTTGAAAAACAATTTACGCTGATGAGAAAGAGACTTCCAATTCAGTGGTAGCATTAAATTGCCTTTTGGTGCACAAAAAAGCTAGGAAGCACACAAACAAAGAAGATCCAAGCACTTGATTTCAAATGTATAGTATTACCCATTTCAAAAAGACAAAATGTACCATTTGTTTCTTTTTTAAGAGAAAACTGAGTGGCTGAACAGACGAATGTTGGCTTTAGGCAGGGGTCACTGTATGTGCAGCAATACTGCTGCTATCTGCAATACATTAACAGCACCTTAATTAAAGTAAGAAAGGCACATATTGAATGAGTGCCACTTCTGCAGCTTCTGCTTGGCTATTAAATTAAAATTCTGGGTTGTTATGGAAACTGGGACTCACGGTAGATAGTTAAAGATTAAAGTAATTATAGGGTATTCAAATCTGACTACTTAATCCTCTATTGAGAAAATGTCAGTAAAGAGTTGTGCAGATGCCTGAGTGACTTAATTTAATTGAGCAATAGATGTTTTATTGCTGAATGCTTGTTTAAAGCTCTAACAACCTTCAGATGTTTGCTGCCTCAGGATCCAGTTGCACACCGTAACTTCTATGTAAATTTTATACATGTTTGTGTATAAATTACACATATGGCAGGTGTTTCTTGAAAATGTTCATGTGTTGCACTCAAATGTAATAAAATAGTTCACAAAATGAGCTTGGGTAAATTCGGAGACGTTCTGCAGGATGCTCAGAGCATCCGTGTCGAGAGCATCTCCTGTGACGCAGAAGGTGTGCCCACATATGTGGGCTGACGGCTCTGCTAGGTGCACTTTGGTTGGGATATCTTTCCTACTAATTTAGGCCCTTTCTGGGGCTCTGTTCTGCATTTACAAGAGCCCATCATCATCTGCTGTCTTATAAACCTTATTTAGCATTTCTCAGTGTAGCAGACTAACTGAGACAATTTTAAGAGGGCAGAAGGCTTTGATTTTAAGTGTTCTGCAGCAAGTCTCAAGTTTCCTACAGCATTTCTCAGCTGATACAAGTAACTTTAAAAAGTTTATTGATGCTTAAATAATTGAGTGTTTTGCACTGATGGTGTTTTAAATAAATGAGTTAACAGACAGCTTTCATCAAAAGGTTTTCCAGAAATATAGCAGATGGATGTTAAAATTTTTCCTCTTTATGTTCTCAGTAATACTCACAAAACTGATGAACACCTGTCCCCCTCACCTGGAAATCTGGTTACTTGTCTAAAAGTTTTCTCTAGCCTTTCATCAGTTATTAGAACTGAATAAAATAGCATGCTTTGAAATGCAGGGGATTAGGCTCCATACGTGCTTGCTCTGAAGTTCAGCAGTGATACCTGCTAAATGTATCCTCAAGCCTTAGTATCTAGATGAAGATGTTTTTATTATTTTACATTTCAGTCTGTGATGAGCATAAGGAATTCAAGGATGTCAAACTATTCTACCGCTTCCGAAAAGACGATGGGACATTTCCATTGGACAATGAGGTGAAGGTGTTCATGAGAGGACAAAGACTTTATGAAAAGTATGTTGCATTTCATATCCGTAATGTGTTGATAATAGTACTATGGGAGGCAAATGATGCTTGTTAATCTGTTTTTGAATAGTCAGAGGCTTTTGAATCATGCAGGAATGGGTCTGGGTAACCTATGACTTTAGTTTCTCTTCTGCTTTTCCACCACAATCACTTGTGTCATTTTGTTTGAAATGAAATAACATTTTCTGGTGTTCTGGGTTCTAAATACATCCTATATGAGAACCCAAGGTAAATTTAAGACCTTGCACTCTATTCTGTAAAAATAATTACTAAAGGATGATATATCATGTAAAACTGAATCATATTATTACATCAAAATGCACTGAACAGGTGGCTATATATCTGTTGAGACTCCATATCTACAACTTCACCAGAAGGTATGTTTTTAAATAATAAGTGAAATTAATCTTCGGCATT